CGCCTGATGACATTGTCGGTCGCCAGTATCTCTCCGCTTTGTCTCCTGATTGTCACCCGCCTTGACTCCGGTCTTCCTGGGCGGTTCTACAGACACAACAAGATGTCTTCAGTCGATTTCTATCAAGGATTATATTAGTGGATCATATTCTGGACCCAATGACAGCCTTATCCTTATGCACATGAGGTCATATTTTCAATAAATAATGTTTATTGATGTTCTTGAATATAAAACTTTCTACTTTGCTTTCATTCACTCTTAAGTGACGCATTTCAATGTTCCTTCAGTAAGAGATAAACGCCACCTATTCTGTTCATAACGGTGGGTGCTTCTGTTCATAGCTCCCCCTCCACCGCCCCCCCCCCCTTACGTGTTAACTTGCGATGTATAAGTGCGATATTTCAATATCAGCGGAACTCATTTCCTTTCTCTTCTCCCCATCCCCTGTCTTCTGACTTTCAGGGTCAGTCTGAGCTTAGCCCGAATGATGTCCCTGGTTATGTGTGGAAACGTTTTCTGCATCTTTTAGTATAGGACATAAAATAAGAAAGTAAATATAGAAGCGTTAAAATGAGATAAAATGTGTATCATTTTGGTAGGGCTTACCATTAGATAGAGAATACAAATGTAACATACTTCCAACTCCAATGGGAAGTATAGTAATGGACTCTTGTGGATCATTTCAATACATGTGAGGCAGAAGATACCAAGTGGGCTGCATTTCTGTCAGTACAGAATGTGATGTGACTTTGTTTCCGCAGAAATAGCAGTAGTTTGGGGGTGGTGTGACCAGCTTCCTCCCTGTCTGTATGAGCTCATCTTGATGATCAGCCCATGACTCCTCTTGTTCCTTTATCCGCTGCTGACGTGACACATCAGGCACAGATAGGTTCAGCAGCTGAATGCTGACATGTAATGTCATTGTTGTCAAGGTCTGCTGTTGCTATGAGTTGTAAAACGGTTGTTGTGGCTGCACCTGCACTTAAACTTCGGTGTACACAGACCGTATTGTTCCATCGTCCTGCAATATTCTGAGAGGTAACACCACACCCTGAAATCCATTTCTCTGCCTTCCTTCCCTCTGCATATTAGCAAAAAAGACAAGGTATAATTGTCTAGGCTTTCTAACCCAGAGTAGAGAGTCCCTATGCATTGTTTATAGTACTTATATTGTGTACCAAAGCTATATTAGGTTAATAAAATGATGTAGTCTTTTCATGACGTCATGATTAAAATGAATAATGTTTATTGATGTTCACCTTCACTTAACTTTAACACGCATAGATGGTAAATGTCCACGTATACCTCACTTCCATAATAGTATTTGTTCTTGAATCCAAAACTTTCTACTTTGCTTCCATTCACTCTTAAGTGATGCATTTCAATAAAGAGATAAACGTCACGTCACCTCTACTGTTCATAGCGTTGGTCCGCAGCGTGCGGCGCAACTCCCCCTCCACCGCCCCCCAGGTGATATTCGGGTAGTACTTACAGACCTATGAACACAATATCGTCAGACTCATTCGTGTGTTTCATTGAATGCAATTAACATGTCACCATTTTGTACACGCCCTGCATTAATTACTTTCCGATGAATTAGCATAAAGTTATAAGACCTAGTTCACTGAGCTTGGCGTTCAGTTACTTACATCATCGATCGCTCTGCGGAACCCTCGGTCCGCCGACGACCCACGTTGTGTTTCTTCAATGCCGATCTGAGTTCCCGCTGTGAAAACATGGACATGTAAGATACATTTATTGGTAGGAATTAGGAATCACATCCGTGGTCGATGGCTGAAAGTACATCCAACGAATGTCTATACAATCCTCTCTGCAAATCATCTTTAAGTTGACTAAAATAATGTACAATATGTCTTTGTTGTATTTTGGACCCAATTGATGCAAATTTGGCCACATCGACAGGTTCTGAGACGACATGGAAAACGACAACTTCAGCCACAGTAAGAAATAACAGCGACCTCCGTGGTCGAGAGTATTTGGTCCAAAATATACACATGCAGTAAGCGAAAACACACCGGGAGACATATCATTTACTATTCAGGTTCGTAGCTATTTGGAATGGGAGATATTTACGCAAAAGTTCCGCCTCTCGGCTGACATAGGCCTTGTCTTTTTGAGTTCGGGAATCGTGGTAGTGGTACCGCTCGCCATGATGGATGACACCGACTGACGAAAGGCACGGTTGCACATAATAAGGTTAACTCGGGTGCACACAGGAACGTTGATAAGAAGATGTTTTTTTGGTTTGCTAATTTGGGTGCTTCAATCTTGTAACGTTACGATCAAATTGTTGATATACGTTTAAAAGAGGGCAGTAAATCTGTATCTGTATAGCCGGTATAACCGCCCTCCGGCGTAACACACCAGCTTCACAGGCACGCGGCGCGGCGGCAGCTGGCTACATTACACCGATCGACTTGTTACACCTAACCCTTGAACTTCTAACTGTACACTTTGTTTAAAGCTATCTAGTGACAATGCCCGTGATGTACTTGGTGACAGCGAATGCCGTCATGAACAATTCTTGATATATCATTGCTTCCTGCCATTTGAACCATGTAATGTCTATATTTCAACCATCTATGTCTCTAGCTATCTATATCCAGATCTTTATCTATGTCTGTCTGTCTGTCTATCTCTCTGTATCTCATCATCTATCTCTATATCTATCTATTTCTATGTACCAAGCTATCACCCTATCTCTGTCTGTATGTATCTATGTTTATAATTGAAAGTGAAGTTCAACATTCAAGTACGTTACATGCAATTGAAAGAAGTCATTGTATGAAAGGTATATGCAATTTCATTACCTTGTTAAAAAAAATTAAAAAAACAAGAAGCCAGAGGCGACAATCCTCCGTGAAATTTTATATTTTGCAACAAAAATAATCCCAAGCGTCAACGCCAGACCTACTGTGCAGACATTAGGCAACGGTTAATACAATGAGGGCGCGTCACAACCATAAAACATAAAAAGACCCAAATCCATTACTGCTCCTAGGGCGTGTAAAGATACTGTGCTTCAAGTTCGAAGTTCATTTTAATTACACACACACAATCATTGCATTCACATAAAAAACGGACTAGCATGATCTATCACGGTCGTGTCACTAGTAACAGACAGCCCCACCGTCTTACCGTGCCTGTTACTTATTAAGCGCGACTGGCCATGCCAAATTCCAGCAACAGTTGCGACCAGCACCGTGAGTGTTACTACCGCCGGAAAAAACGTTTCAACGACATTATAGGGATGTTTCAAAAATAAGCATTTACTCCAATATCAAAACTGCTAGGGTAAAAATAAAAACACGTGCATCACTACGGGCATAATGGCACACCACATGCCAAATTACACAGAAATGCTACGTACAGAACAATGAGTTTTGGCTGCGAACATCTATGGTACCACTTCTCGACCCTCCGCACGTCTGCATGAAGTCCCCCCCCCACCGCTATTCCAAAAAACGGGTTTTTCCGGACCATTCCAATTTGCCTCATAATTGTAGGGGTGCATGTGCAATATTACATTGACCGCGAAAACAGCAACGGCAAAAATACACATTCGTGCATCAACACGGGCATGCCCGCGGACGGCGTATAAAATTGTATGCCGATTACACAAAGAGAACCCAGTGTTTTGACTGCGAACATGAAAAAACAGCTCTTCACAACACTCCGTCCGGAGGTCCTGACCTCCTTCACGGAGTAATGAAAGACTATATTGTTCCACCCTATGCAGTTCGAGAACGGTGTTCTTGCAATGGCTGCAAAGGCCGTGGTTGGTATGATCCCCGCACTGTTCGGCGGCATATCGAGCAGCGTGGGTGGTACATTCCACCGTCCGACAGTGATGACGGAGAGTCTACACACTCACCTAAGCGGCCACGGTTGGAGGTAAATGTCATGAAACACTTAAGTTTTTACACCAAGGGATATGGGTGCAGTGGGGTCATTTTTTATCCGATTTGTGGGTATTTTTTCCACTGTAAGTAGACTACGACGGTCTGGATGTTTACTCATCGTGGGTTTATTGAGGCTAATGCAATATTGTACAATGTTGTGGAATACTCAGTAATAGTTCAGAGGACATCATGTTGGCTTCATATTTGGTGTATCGTGTTGTTTCAGTCCTCTGAAGAAGAGTCTGACTCAAGTGGCAGCCAATATTCCATGGAAATCACATCTGGAGGGACATATGGACATGATAATGAGGACGGTAATGGTGGCGATGACGAAGGTGCGCCACACGCCGCCGGAAGTGCCAGCGGACCTGAAAGTCCCTCGTACGAAGATCCCACTACTGAAAGTGAGAATGATCCGGCCATGACGGAAACTGAAACTGACAGCGAGGATGACCCAGATCCCGGTGACCCAGGTCCAGATGACCCAGATCCTGGCGAACCATTATTCCCAAACTCTCCGAATGATCTTGAAGTAGCTGTGGGACTCTTGGCGGCTTGGCTCGCAAGGACGAATGTATCAGAGAGGGACATGGGAGATTTGTTGAAAATCTTCAAATATCTCTTGCCTGCCCCCAACAACCTGCCAACAAGTACAAAGAAATTGAAAAGAGTCATGAACAAAAGTATCATCACAAAGCACAAGGCTCATATCTGTCCAAACGGCTGCTGTATTTACACTGGTAAAAATTTACACTGGTAACAACTTGAAACAACAGCAGTGCCCTGTGCGCCAATCCACGGTACAAGGATGGAACCAAACGGCCAAGGAAGGTCTTTCACTACTATTCATTAATTGAGTACCTGACCTGGTTGTTCTCGACTCGCAAGTTTGGCACCCTCGCAACAACACATCATACAAGAGCTGATGTTGAACAGGACGATCTCAAATTCGAAATCCAGGATACTGAGATGTGGAAGGGGCTATACGCTAACGACGGTTTCTTCCAAGGGGAATCGAGAGGCTTATCGTTGAGTGTGTCAACAGACGGCCTGTCTCCTTTCCGGACGAACCCTAAAGTATGGAATTTGGCCGATTACAGTGACTATCGAGAATTTACCAAGATCCGTGGGAAATGAACTGCCATGTACGTTTCTGTATGGTATTGCTCCTGGACCAACGAAACCGGACAATCTAGACGTCTGCTTGACGCCTCTAGTAGATGACCTCATGAAACTTGCCGTAGTATCCCTGAAACAAGAGATGCCTCTACTGATGACAGCTTCACGATGAAGGCAAGGGTACTCAGCTGGAAGGTCGACTATGAGGGACATCGTATACTGCTCAAGGTTGTCGGAGCAAGTGGTTTGGCTGGTTGTGATAAAGATCATGCGAAGGGTATCAAACCAGCAGGTGTCAATAGGACGATCTTCCCACTTCAACGCTGCTACCTGGCCCAGGACTCAGACCTCCGCCGAAACCGAAATGGGCGATATTTGCGAATCAATGACAACGGCCAAGTGGAAGGGCACAGTGGACCCGACAACAGCAATCCACCAGCACCCAGGACACACGATAAAATGGTCGCCACTGGCCAACAAGTCGAAGCTCTGCGTCTCCAAGGGAGAAGAGGTTTGTTCGCACTCTTAAAGAGACCACTTTGTCTTAACTAGTGACCTAAGGCAATGAACCTTTGAAATCGGTATGGTTTGTTTTTCATGTTGATCCTTGTTACTTTCTTACCTTTCAACCATGATGGTGTTATTTCATGTCTATGTCAGTTGTAACATGTATGTAATGTTATAATTGACATGGTAATCCGTCTACCCATGTACTTTATGTTGTATCCAAAACATAACTTCGTTTATATCATACCCGGGGTCGCGATAATGTTCGATAACGGGTTCAGGACCGGGTCGTACTTTACGGTACGGCCCTGTCCTGAACCCGTTATCGAACGCTTCCATGGCTTCCATAAAACGATTCGAACGCGTTTCGCCCTACCCGCTTGTGCCCCTTTCGAAAATTCTAATACAGAATCCGGACGTTGGAACTGATGTTGTTGCATTTTAGGGTTTAGTGGCACCAACTTTTGGCTCATCTTGCATTGAAAGGCGTGTTTTCTTGGGTGGGTATGACATAAATAAAATACAACACGGTGTATTCCGCATCGCCCTAGGTCCCGGCCCTCCCGCGAGTCGGATCGCCCTCCGGCCTGCGGCCGTCGGGCGATCCGACCCGCGGTCGGGCCGATACCTCGGGCGATACGGAATACCCCGTGTTGTATTCTATATGAATGCACCTTTGGAGCCACTCAGTACATGTATTTTTCATCTCCGTACATTGAAGCACAAGCGGATCGTCTGCAAAAGGAAACCGGTGTCCGTGGTGTGTCTGAAATATGCCGACTGCCCTACGTTGACATCGTGGCTGATGTACCGGTGGACCCTATGCATGTCATCGCTGGGTTTTGCAAGAAGGTTCGTGTTGAAAGCCCCTGTACTTGTCAATGTTGTTAGGCTAAGTAAAAAGAGTCTAACTTTGTTCCTAGTACATAGCAGTTTTATTACTATCGATTTTTTTTTTCTTTCAATCAATCTTTATTCATTAAGGAACTCGCGGGCAACACACCCGAATTACGTCCTTGTTACACCAGTCACATTAACAACATTTACATTTTAAAACGAATCATCACATAGGTAAAATCTCAATATTAAAAACATCACAAATAACATATCACAGTTAAACATATGCTGTGCATGGCGCGATTACCAGATGTCCAATTACTCAGTGCTAATTGTCTTGTTGTAAAGACGGATTGCGCAATGGAGGAAAGAATTTCTTAGTCTCTCAGTCCGGGCCCTTGGTACACTGATAGTGCTAGAGTTTCTAAGTGTCCGTCCCGTGGCACCAGACCTGTATCGATGTATCAATATTGTAGTCACAAGTTGATGAAGAATACCTATGCGTGCTTTCCATGTCAATGCATCATGCATGATAACACCAAGGTGTACATTGCTGAGAAAAGGGAACTGCCATAAAAGTACTTAAGATGTGTATTGGACATTTCATTTGTATGACTAAAGGTAATGAAAATGTGCTTCCTGGACATTTATTCCATTTTGCCTGTAACATTCAGCTCCTTGCCATTATGAGAGCCGACAGCAGCGTTGACGGGTACAACATCCGGCAGTTTGAGAGGCAAATGGGCAGGTTTCATGCAAACATCATGCCCGCTGCCGAGGGCCAAGACTTGCCGCAAGCTCCCTGGACCCTGACTCCAGCGCAACTTCGCCTGGCAGACGAGTGCTTGGCATGTATCAAAGGGATCACGGGCCATTCCTTCAGACCAGATATGTCGATGTTTGTAGATGGTGGTGCAAACCAGAAATCAGAAGAAGTCATTCACGTGAGTGTTTATATTGAGTCATATGCAGACCATGCAAATTGGGTGAATATCCGTAACTTGGGAAAATCATTGACGCAACAGAAAAATACCTTTAGATAAAGTACTAATCCTTGTCAATCATTTTTCCAAATGATTCTTTCCCCGTTTATGCCACCAAAGTTTCTAAAGTAACAGGTGGTATTTTAGCCGTAACTGACACTCCATATATTCTGTCCAATAAGGCGATGACTAATGGCCCAGTAAAGTTCTGCCTCCGAGGGTTCCTGGGAAACCTGCAGCGAACGGCAATCTTTGCTTACTGCGACGCAGTGTACGATGTACTACAGTCATCCTCACGAGACATGCTGGATGATTGCCAGGTTTGGAACTTTCACCAAGTCTTGTCAAGGACGTTGCCTACAGTCATAGGCCATGTGTATTGTACGATTAGTTAGAGGGAAGTTTAGGTTCTATCGGGACATGACTTTATGGTAAAGTAATACGTATTTTCTCAGGTGACTTCCCATAATTATCATGTATTTGCAAACGATATGTATTTGCCGTGTAATAAGTCGGTAAGGTGCGCAAAACTGGTGTACAGACAGCACAAGATTCAATATCGGTACAACTGTAGCCTTGCTGTACATTTCATGTACAGCAATGTTACACTTCTACCGATATACAGGTGATGAAGCACAAAACGTAGTAAGACCGAAATTTATGGCGCGGGGCCACAGATAACCATTTGTGTTTGCACCATCAATACAGGAGCAGCTATGCAGAGCGATGGTACTGCTAGCAAGGACATTGCCATGTACCATCCAGACAATGCTTTTCCACCTTCACTATCATTTGGTGGAGGGCGTTCAGAGGTTTGGAACCGCTCAGTCATTTTGGATGTTCCCAGCGGAGAGACGACACCACCTGTTCAAACAGCTGATCAAGTCTCCCAAGCATCCAGAGACGTCCATCATGAACAGGTTCAAGGTGAGTGAAATCGCACTTAACACAACAAAGTTGTCAAGGACCATCGATATCTATCCACCCACCCACCCATCCATCCATCCATCCATCCATGAAAGCAACCATCCATCAAAGCAACCTTTCATCCATTATTGTACATAAATGAAGGACATAGCTGCAATATGTAACAAGTACCATGTGTAAAATCAAAAATATTCACACAGACCGAACCTACAAGATTTTTCGATACTGTCAGAATGATCTTATAGTGTGGGTGAAACATTCAGGATCCTGGAGGTACTAAATTACTCTTATTACTTGCTTATGTAACCCTAACTCCAATGTTTCAGTACGTGCTTGCTGCCCAGCGTCTTCGCCACAATGGCGAGGTGCCAGTGGACCTTGTTGACATCTTTCAACAGTATGACAAAGTGGATGATTTTGAACGAGGCTATAACACCCGTCGACGCCGAAATGAAGACGAGAACGACTACGAAGACATCGTAGTTCATGGTGCTGGCTGCCATTTGTCGTTCAGTAGCTTTGCACAACGTCTTGGGGCCAACTCTGCTGGCTCTTTCGGGATGTTCTTCGGTACTCCAAGGGAGATGGTGCTAAACGAGGCTGACAGACAGCTATTACAGGTAACTGAAATGTTGACATTAACATTTACATCGATTACTTGCAATTTTTGTGTGTAGAAATATTGCAAAAAATCAGAACCAATTTCATGGAAGGTTATGGTTGTTGCAAGTAGCATTGTCAGCAACACTGAATGGGCGTCAATGATACGCAATGCAAACCACAGTTCTTACTTGTTGATGGAGTCAATAAACACCTATGTGTAAATGTACCTTTATGTTGTTACCATCTATACATTACCGTATGTTTCTGCCCCTTCCCCATTAGCGTCGACAACTTAGAGTGTCAGCCACGTGAATCTGTCACTGTTTATCACCAAGCTCAAGTTCCTGAAGTGGACAGACAATACCTCATCCAGTTCAGAAGTCAGTGGTGGGAAGAAGAAGCACCACTGCGCTCACGTCCCGTCAAGAGATTGTCAATGAGCAGTTATTTGGTTGCCCGGTTTCGAGATGACAACCCTCCGGCTAGGGCAACCAATGGTATTGAGGAAGACGGACAACAGTGGTACTATTGGATCGGAAGGATTCAGGAGTTCTGGCTACATAACAGTCCCAGGCACAGGCCGGAACAGCTGGTGAAGGTTCTCTGGTATAGCATGCCGGACATGGACAGGGAGACGACAGGTTTTTGGTTTGTAGATACCACACGGCCGAGCAGTGGGACTACGGTAGAAGACCTTTTGAACATGAAGTCCTGTTTGCCATTGGTAGCTGTGGAAGGACACTATATTTGGATATTGTCCATCTATCGCTAAAACGAGGGCACTCATATATAGCATGTGACATTTTCGGGGGTGGGTCGGGGTTGTAAAGCACTAAATGGTAACAGATGGTGGAACTACCCATTGGAGGTTGAAATGATATCATGTTACCAACATTTGTGACTTCAATTTTTATTCCCTCCATGTTTGTGTTCACAAATGGCACTGATGGGGAATGTGACATTTTTAGGGATGTCTTGTGGGTTAGGAAGGCACAAAGTCCTTCCGGATGGTGAAAGTGCCGAATTGCACAGATTGTTCAGAGCGATCGCCATGACGTCATGACCAACGACTGGTACGCAAAAGCGCTTGATGGTTGGCAGATTTGCCTAACAATTGTGTGCTTATGTCTGTCAATAATTTGCATATGTATATGATGTCAAGAAAAACAGGCTTCGTGTATTTCCACCTTGTACCATGTATGTGTTCAACAGGCTGAAGTGGAGGCTACTGACAGCTGATGAGAGGAACTGAAGATGAATTGGCTTTCGTCACGTTGGAAAACTTCTATTTGCAGGGAAAGAACAGGACATCCACGGTCGGTATTTCAAATGTTGTATTTTTTCTACAGTGTCCCGCAGTTTGGTCGTCCACGCAGGTGACATTTCAATATCTATATCCATTGATTTCATTATCTAATTGGTGATAAATAACGTAAGTAATTAACCTGATGTGGTTAAGTCTGATGAAGTGATATACTGTAACAAGGAGCTTAAAAAATGTGACACAACGTTCTTGACTGTAATGACTCTTTTCTAGTGATATTGTCGTTCCGACGGCGGAGGTATTACAACCCATGATCATGTACTTGTGAAAATTGCATGTTAGGAGGAATGTGGCTGGTACTTCTCTAGAGTAGTGCTTACGCAATTACACCTGGGATATGCACCTGGTTGTACACCTGGACGTGGGAGATGCCTATAAATAACACAGGCCACTGCGGTTTCTTCCACTTGAGCTTGACATGCCCAGATCGATGGACGACGAGAGCATGGAATCAACCGACCAGTACGTATTGCTTGTGTTTGTCTGATTATCTTTCATGATTTTAAACTGTAGCAGAGCTTGTAGGCAAAAATTGCCGTGAAACGTTTTGGTGTGTACAAGTACCACTTAGTTGAAAGCCGGAAAATTTGTGAAGTCGTGTTAATGATTTGCAAATGTTGATCGTTATGACGAAGAATTCGTTGCACAGAACATATGCAGTATGATGTATTCTTCATTTGAATTTTTCTGAGCAGAGTTCAATTTTTCGTTGTGCCCACGTATGTAGTAGGGCCCGGTTTAAAACGTGCGTCGTTTTAAGATATGTTGCGGGCGTGTACTTGTCTTCTGTGAATAATGTTCTGTATTAACATTTGTGGCGTGGGGTGGCGTCTTCGATCCCGAGTTGTACCCGGGACATGTCTGGACATGTCCCGGGTTACTCTCCAAGCAGAGGTTTGGGCCCAGTAGGGGTTAATTAGCGTGTTTGTAGGCTTTTTTTATTGGAGTTTCTCTTTTGCACTGAATTTTATTCCCACCAAACCCAAAAGTACATGGGTTTGGTGGGGAAAAAATTCAGTGCAAAAGAGAAACCCCGATAAAAAAGCCTAAAAACACGCTAAAAATACCCACACTGGGCCCAAACCTCTGCTTGGAGAGTAACCCGGGACATGTCTGGACATGCGCCCCGACATTGTGCCCTTGGGAAAGTCACTTCGAACAGTAAAAACCATCCATTTATTAATAGCGTGTATGAAGCCTCTTAAAGGTAAACACTCCAATTTCTTACAGTATGGACACGTTCCCGCCACTCCT